TGCAAGAAAGAAATTGACATTATTTAGCCCAGGGGTCCGCAGTCCGAATTGAATTTAGACCAATGTTATTAAAATCGGCCTGGTCATTGATCCGGTTGAGGTACTGGGTTACTGGGTCACTGGTTCAACCAGTGGGTCACTGATTCAACCGCATGACCCGGTAATTTTATGTAATTTTATAATTTATATTCAAAAATTATAAATATACACAAATATCTAAAAAAATGATAAAAATTTCAAATATTTTAATATAAAAAATAATAAATCACATATTATTATCCAATAAAGGATCAAACAAAAACATAATGATTGTGATACGAGGCTTTAGGTTAGAAAATGACATTTCTAACTATAAATGAAATCAAAATTTTCTGTATAGTGCATAATTGAGATAATATTAGTGTTACAGGTACATAACTTATGTAAGTTAATAAGCAAAAAAAAAATTCAAATATGTCCATTATGATTATTTTTTGAAAAAAAATAATAATTTGGGAAATTTTTTTTTTGGGACCGGGTCGGGTCACCGGTTAACCGACCGGGTCATCGATTTTTGTGAAAATCGGCCGGGTCGCACCGGTTTTGATGCATGACCGGTCCGTTGTTTCAACCGGACCGATTTACCGATTCTCGGGTCGGTCCGGGTTTATTAACACTGATTTAGACAATTCATTGTTCTAAATTTGAAAGCTGGACACTATTAATTGAAACTTATTACACATCAATTTCAATTTTCTTTTTAGAGAGTCTCCTCCTATAATCATATAGATTCCATAAGAACTAATCTAGAATTTGGGACGGGTTCAGGATTGACTTTACATCTCTCCCAAAAATGATATTAGAAAAAATCAAATACATGCTCTCACCATTACTTACTTAATCAGCTCTTATACACTAATTGTGCTACCATCATTTGATATTTCTTTTTCAACTTAAAATGAGTGAAAAGCTCGAGTAGTTAAGATCATAACTATTATTCTGTATTTTTTTTACAATTAATGTATCTGATTGGAATTTTTTGTTCTTTCATCCCTTTACAATCGCACAATTAATTCTTGAAGAATAAAGAACATTAATCACTTTTAAGGCATAATTTTTAAAAGGGTTCGCTTTTTCTGCAGTTACTGGCGAAAACATTTTTCCCTTTTTAAAAATAGAAAATTAAGTTTTTTTTTCCTTTAAATCTTTCTAAAAATCTCTCAATACAAAACTTTCATTTAATTATTATAAAAAAAGAAACTTTCATTTAATAATATTTCATTAATTTTTTTCAAAATTTTATAACTATCATAGTTATTTAATGATTAATATCTCTCAATCAAATAATCATCAATATCACACAATAATATTATTTAACTTATATTGTAATATAATAAAGGGCATATTATTTCTGATATTATGAGACAAATTGTCTCATTGACGTACAAAAAAATGAATGAGATCCATTAAAAAAAGAAAAAAAAAGTAAATAAATAAATTCCACATACTTTTTTATGTGTTAAATGAGATAAATTGTCAGATATGAGAAATAATATTCCCTTGGCTATTACTTTATGAAAATATATAATATTAAACATTTATCACTTCCCTTAAAGCCATGGCCACGGCAGGCCTATGGCCAAACGCAAATTGCTTGGAATTTATTATAATTATAATGGTAATTTTTATTTTTTTTCTCTATCAGATCAACCAACAAAGTAAAAAAAAAAAATTTTAAAAATCTTTATTAACAGTAGAAAAACAAAACCCTTTAATTATACATGATTAGTTCACGATTTTTTTTTGTACCACTATGCAAATTACCTATGCCGCTGCTCGTTACTCTGTTTTGATGTTCGTTCTTCTTTGCCTTTCTCGATTGTATTACGTCATTCCAGTATCACTTTGGTTTATTTCCTCACGTGTCAACAACTAATGCACGTAATAGTCACACACACCCATGACAGCCTCAGGTTCTCCAAAATTAAAAGAGTTTATGGAATTCATGATCTTGGAACGGTCTTTCAAAGAGACTCAATTCAACATGTCATGATGAAAAGACCCCAATGAGCAGGATGTTCTGACTAAAATATGCAATATTTGACTCAAAAATCAACGGAAGAAAAAAACGTTACTAAGGATAGAGCAGTATGCTTCTTATCATCGGTCTAACAACTGACTTGGAAATGTAGAACAGAAAATATTTCCAATCGGTTATTTGCCGTAGTTTTTGTTTGTTGTGTGGCTCCTATTCGTCAAGTGGAGGAAAAGAATTACAAAACTAGTTCTGATACTAATATAGTAATATTTCTTGACCTCTTATCTAAATTTGGGTCAATAATTGTTTTTTAAGAAAAGAGATTGTCATGTAATAATATTCAATTAATGGCATGTAATTACTAAAAGGCAGTTAAAATTCAATTACATCTTATAACCTCTGCCCAAACAATGTGAAAGTTTTCTTATGCACTTAGCCTATAGTTCTAGTAAATTTTAGAGATGTAGTAGGTAAATTTTATGGGTACCAAATACAATAACACCATGATAAATCAAACTCAACATAAGTGTTTGTTAGTTGTATGAATAAGGAGTTCACACACTTTTATAAGTCGTTTCATCAATAATCATTGTATAGATGATGTTAAATTTAAAAACTGAGCTTGTGCCACCTTCGAAGAAATCACTTGCAGAAACTCCAACAGACAATTCAAGGGGAAATGCTTGGAATGTTGTTAGCCTCCAGATGAGACAAACCCATACCAAAGTAGACAATTCAACTACGTAAATTGATCTTGGCATAGGTTGGCCAAAGTAAGCATGCATATCAAGATTCATGAGGCACACACCAGAATTTTAGGTGTCCAGGTGTCCTCCCTGTACTCTTTGAATTCCTATAAATACCACTCACCTATATTCCAAATCTGCACACACAAACAAATTAAGATTACTCGGAGGTAGGTACAAGAGAAAGAAAAAGGAGTGAGAAATGGAGAACTTCCCCGTTATCAACTTGGAGAATCTCAATGTCGAGGAGAGGAAGGCTATCCTCGAGAAAATTAATGATGCTTGCGAGAACTGGGGATTTTTTGAGGTACCTCAACGAATCTGATAACAAAAGCTTTGTTATATTCGAATATTTTATATTATATCTGCTGATTTGCAACTCAAAATTTTCTCCATATTGTTCATTTTAACTATATTAATCTTGTTGCTTTCCTAATTGTAGTTGGTGAATCACGGAATACCCCATGAACTTTTGGATACAGTGGAAAGGTTAACAAAAGAGCATTATAAAAAATGCATGGAGCAGAGGTTCAAAGAGGTAATGGCATGCAAGGGCTTAGAGGGTGTCCAAGCTGAAGTAAAGGACATGGACTGGGAGAGCACCTTCTTCTTGCGCCATCTCCCAGAGTCCAATATTTCTGAAATCCCTGATCTCACTGAAGAGTACAGGTCAGAAAGATTGAAAACTAAGAAAATACATCACATATTGTTGATGGCACACACATATATATATATAGGAGAGGGTTATATTTACAAACTTTTTATTTACAAACTCTTACAAATTACACTATGTTCTCTCTCGGGAGTACATAGTGTAATTTACAAAAATTTGATAAAAAAATTTGTAAACAGATCATTTTCCACACATATATATATATATATATATATATAGATTACGTTTACACTTTTTTTGTTTACAATTCTTATAACCTCAACTATTTATGCCGGGAAGATTGTAACCTAAAAAGATTGTAACCTGACCAATATATATATATATATATATATGTGTGAAGTTGATAATTTGATGCATGTCAATGTCTAAATAAGACATAGTTTGAACTAGATGTGGTAATGATGCAGGTGGGCAATGAAGGAATTTGCAGAGAGATTAGAGAAACTTGCAGAGGAGCTGCTAGACATGTTATGTGAAAATCTTGGATTAGAGAAAGGATACCTCAAGAAAGCCTTTTGTGGATCGCAGGGTCCAAGTTTTGGCACAAAGGTTGCAAACTACCCTGCGTGCCCGAAACCAGAGCTGGTGAAGGGTCTTCGTGCCCATACGGATGCGGGTGGGATTATCCTTCTCTTGCAAGATGACAAGGTCTGTGGCCTGCAGCTTCTCAAAGATGGCCACTGGGTGGATGTGCCCCCAATGCGCCATTCCATTGTTGTTAACCTTGGTGACCAGCTTGAGGTAATTTCTTTTATTTGACTAATATATATGTCTATAATGCAGAACTCATCTATTGTGGTTATTATTCTTATCCAACATTTTTGGTTATACAGGTAATTACCAATGGGAAATACAAGAGTGTGGAGCATCGTGTGATTGCTCAAACTGATGGGACAAGAATGTCCGTAGCCTCATTCTACAACCCTGGTAGTGATGCTGTTATCTACCCTGCACCAGCATTGTTGGAGGGAAAGGCAGAGGAGATAGACCGAGTATACCCAAAATTTGTGTTTGAGGATTACATGAAGCTCTATGCTACGCTGAAGTTCCAAGCAAAGGAGCCAAGATTTCAAGCAATCAAGGCAGTGAACTCATACTAGTTTAATGCGCATGCTGGATAATGCAGTATCCTAATACAAATAAACAATTGATTCGGTTGTCGTAGTTGGACTCTATCATGTATTTCTGACCATATCTCGTTATATGATTATTACATATATGCAATAATACTATACTGATTTTTTATTTACAATGAGAATATGCACAAACATCTCTGCTTAAACACAAACGTAACACCCTAAACCAACACCAACAAAAAATTAAAGCAACAAATCAAAAGATTTGCCAAAGCTCATAATGTGATTATTACACTCTCCAACTGAGTTGAAGTCAAAATTTTACATCGAAAATATGCAGAAACCTCTCTGCTTAAAAACAAACTCAACCTCATAAGAAAAATACAACAAATCAAAAGCTTTGTCAAATCACATAATATGATTAATACATGAATCTAACACCACACGGATTAAAGTGCTGTTCGAACAATGATACGCGGTAGAATCCCCTATAAATTGTCGCCTTTATCACTTGCCACTGGCACCTTAGTTAAAATAGCTGTTATAAGATCAAAGTATAGTGGAAACTGTGCTACGGCATAGAAAGTCACAGGCAAGCAAGTGGCTCCATAAATGGGGAATAGTATGTTCTTGTATTTGTGGCTAACAAGAAAGAAATGGCCGGTGCAGAAAGAAACAAACATTGAAGCAATGGATATGAAAAGAGAACTCAAACCGAGAAGAAGTTTCAGTGGCAAATCCCTGCGAAAATCTTTGGCTTGTTTACGAGAAGTAAGTATAGCAAGGAACATTATGAGTCCAGTGACGGAGAAGCAAAGTCCGATTAACGAAGAAATAGCGAATACATCGAATGCAGGCTTGCCTTCTAATATAGGCATACCTGTTTCACCGTTGGTTCCACCAGGTACAGCGCTGGCTGTGGCAAAGGAAACACCAGCGACAAGCGCAGCCACAACAGAACAAGATTCAGATGTGTCCTTAAGCCATTCACTACTCTCTTTTATAAGATCTTTATGTGTTTCTGTGAAGATTTCCCCTGCTGCTTTCCCTTTTTTATTGCTTCTAAAATAGAAGTGTTGCGGGACAAGGCTTTTTATATACTGCTCCAAGGTAAAATAAAGAATCAATATATGTATATAAATATTTTTTTTGGATATTATTACTTAACTAGTCTAATTCGAGTCCGATAGAATCACATGGTGATAAAACTCTCCTAACTATTGGTTAAGCTGGAACAACCTAGTTGATCCACGTGCTTAGTGGTATATATGTATATAATATATGCATGGTTACGCTAATAATTGTAAAACTAAATTAGGAAAAATTATATATATGTTTCGTATGTACCTGAAACCATTTTATATCCCACATCATTTGTAAGGCAGAACCAGCTATCTGCCAAGGCTTATCGCCGCCGAGTGCATGTGCTGCCAAATGCAACATGGTGTTCTCGGTTTCATCCACTGCCAGAATTAAGTTATTCCAAACTTCTGGTTTTGATTGCATTCTCATTCTCAAAGCCTCAACAACAAGGGGTTGTCTCTTCACTACTGCGACCAGCAATACATTTTCTTTCTTTGAGTTAGTGTTATGAATGGCACTTGGTATTCGACGTAGAATTTCGTTCACCATTTCAACTATGCCATTTCTTGCTGCAACCAAAAATGCTGTCTCCTTTAAGTCCTCTTTCTCAGTTTCCTCGGCACCATCTTTTTCTGTTTCCTCCTTTGCGTAACCTGGATTTGTACTTTCCCTTTTGCCAGCGGACTCTGGTTCTTTTTCTTCTTCCGACCACTCCAATCTGCTGGTTTCACCTGATAGTACCAACTCAAACAAGTCAAATAAGAAGCTTAAAGAAATAAATTTGGAAAAGAAAGAAAGATATAGAATTACGAATATAGTTATTATAATTGAAATGAATGAAATACACACGAGCACAAAAGAAATTGGCAATTTGGCACACGCAACTTTAATTTTTTTTTTTTGGTGGTTTGGTCTAATTTGATAAGTTTTTAAAAGATTTAAGATGAAAATGAAATGATCATAAAGTTGTACCATAAAAATAATATTTAAAATAAAGTTAAAGGATTTTTTTTTTGGTATAACCTAGAAGATATCCTCATTCAACCTCTCTCGGTCACAAGTAAATCTTTGGAAGCTCAGTTGCCAACTGAGTTACCTGAGGTTTGATTAAAAGAAATTTTTATATTTGTTCTTTATAATGAAACATAATTTTTACATAAATTGATTATTAAAAATCACAGTAAATTACGTAAATATTTTCACAAAAAACTTCACAATTACCCTTGTTGATTTTTCTAAATGCACCATCATCAATATGGTGGCGTGCTCTCGTCACGACAACTAAAGAAGTACATAATCTCATTTGAGTTGAAAGTTAAAATGAGGATACTCTTGTAGTAAGAACAACAAAAATTTATATATAAAAAAAAAAAAAAAAGAACAACAAAAATTTGTATTTGTTTGTTATATGTTAAAAAATTTATATACTCATAACAGTTGAAATTTTACTTTTTGTCCTTTAATATTAATTTTTTTTCTTTTTGCCATATAACTATATTTTTTGATTTTCTATCAAATCTTTTGAAAAATCACAAAATTTGTCTCATTCTAAAGAAACAAAAATCCGGTTGGACGAACTAATCATGCACTTATGTCCACGTGGCATGTGTCCATGGAAAATATCTTGAGTACTAAGATTCAGTGTATTATTTATTCAATTTGAAAAAATAATATATATTTTTTATCATTTTACCCTTTTTTATATGATTATTTTCCCCTAAATCGTCACTCTTTTTTACTTTTAGTAAACGAGTATATACTTCAATAGCACCAAAGATATGCTCGTGTCCATGTGATATGTCATAGCAGGAAATTCCATTAATATTTTGAACTGTGTTGGTGGTGGGATCAAATTTGTTAGGTTCAAAAAAATTGAGACAAAAATGAAAGAAAATATAACTGTGAGATGAAAATGGAATTTAGATTAAAATTAAGGTGAAAAATAATTTTTGTCAAAAGCAGTTACCACATAGCTCTTAAATGGCAGTGAAAGATAAATCTAAGCTCTATGTTAGGTACGAGTTATTAAAAAATGATGTTCAGATTCCTAAACTGCCGAACCAATGGAATGTAATATATATTTGAAACGTACCTTGTTTCCATCGGTGATATTGATAAACAGAAAACATGTCTGTTTCAACTTCCCAATTAGTTGGTTGACCCCCGCTTCCCGTGAATGCTGCATAAGGTCTTCTCATTAGTGCATTCAGGAGTTGACCACTCCATTGGTGTTTCTTCTTCGTCTTTTTTACCTCCTTTAAAGCTTAAAAAGTAGATGAATTGAAACAAGGAGCATTACATTATTAATCGTGTTAAACCATCTAGTAGCAATTAAGCAATTAATTAAGTAATTGATCAAGAATTAAACATATAGAACACATACCCACTCCTGAAAGGCCAAGACTATGTACGTATGCAGACTTGATAAAATGATGAAAGGTTGCATAATTTGGTGGAAGAAATCCAACCTTAACATCATCTCCATCTGTCTTGTCATTCTCTTTATTGTTTGATTGCTTTTCTGTGTCATGCTCATTCTTTCCCCGCACTGACCAAAGAAACTAGTCTTATAAAAATGGGAAAATAAATTTTGCGTAATGCAATTCTATCAGTGAGAAATAAATTTTTAGTAGTATGAGAATCCATTGAACGTACCAAGTAGAGCAGCAGCACTGAACAGAGCAAAAAACAGTGTAGAAAACAATTTAGAAAAGAAGTCATATAAAATGGTGTAGAAGTCATATAAGGTGGTGTAGTTCTTTGGGAGTATCATTTTATCAGATCTTGGAGGGCGTTCCATCTTTCTCAAACTCGACTTCATCGTTCTTTCAACTTCAAGTGGTTCTACAAGTGTACCTTTGGCAAGAAATAAAAAAAAAAATAGTATAGATAGAATTTATACAGTCGGTCACTGTACTTTATATGGTTTCTTTCTACCTTAGATTATTGATTGAAACACAATGTTCCTTACAATTTTTCCAAAAATTAATAACACGTGTGAATGTAGTTGTCTTAGTACTCTGAATATAATAATCACGCACCTTATTTTTTTACCCATATGCTCTGCATCTTTCTTTTATGCGAGAGAATAAAAAATGAAAAGTAAAATAGGTATTTAAAAATGGTTCATTTTTTTTTGCAATTACTGCAGATAAGTAAGCCCAAAACGACGTCGTTTTGGGACAGAAATCATGATATTTTTATAATTTTAATTTATTTCAGGATTATAATAGTCTTTATATTTATAATTTTTTAAAATTTCAATACCAAAACGACGTCGTTTTGAAAATAAATATAAATAAATTATCTGCATTAACTGCAACAACATTTTTCCCATTTAAAAAATTGGAAGGGGTACTTTTAATTGAGGTCTAAGTTTATGGGGTTTCTATACACCAGATTGTAATCATATATCTAAACAAAACTTACGTTAGTGTTAAGTAGACTGAAACTAAATATAGTTCGATTTAGAATACGGCGCTTTTAATATAGGATCCTTTGATATCAGTGTCATATCATCTCATAACTGTTCCGTTAGATTAAAAAAGATCAATGGTGTCACATTCTAAACAAATCAGAGTCGTTGATCTTTTTTTATCTAACGGCTATCAGATGAGATGTCAAATTTCAAAAGATCATATCTCATATATATATATATAAGGTAGAATCCTTTGACACCGGTGTCAAATTTGAAGTTTGACACCTCATATGAGAGCCGTTAGATAAAAAAAAAAGATCAATGGTGTCACATGCTTACAAATCAGAGTCGTTGATCTTTTTTAATCTAACGACTCTCAGATGAGGTGTCAAACTTCAAATTTAACACCGGTATCAAAGGATCCAACCTATATATATATATATATATATATATATATATATATATGGAGAGAGATCATTTGACTCCAGGGTAAGACTTCTCAGCCCTTGATTTCCATATATCCAATGGTTATAGTGTAGGAAATCATATTAATTAATTACATTACAAATGAGAACGGTTGATTTTCGTCCATCAACGACTAAAGTCTTATTCTGAGTCAAAAGAAATATATATATATATATATATATATATATATATATATATATATATATATATATATATATATATATATATAGGGTCAGGATCATTTTACACCAGTGTAAGTTACACTCTTAATTTTGTCCGTTGATCCAACTTATATCTAAGGGTTCTAATTTTTTAGTTATGTGAGTCATTGGATACAAGTGGATCAATGGTCAAGATTGAGTGTAAGACTTCTAACTCTTACACCGGTGTAAGAATATCCTGCCCCATATATATATATATATATAGGGTCAGGATCATTTTACACTGGTTTAAGTTACACTCTCAATCCTGTCTGTTGATTCAACTTATATCTAAAGGCTCAAAATTTTTAAAAATGTGAGCCATTGGATAGAAGTGGATCAATGGTCAAGATTGAGTGTAAGACTTCTAACTCTTACACCGGTGTAAGAATATCCTGCCCCATATATATATATATATATATGGGGAGGGTTCTTTTGACTCCAGAGTAAGATTTTTAAGTCTTACTCCCCATCTCAGTTGTTGATGGACGAAAATCAACGATTATCATTTATAGTGTAATTAATAATTAATTAATTAATATAATTTCCTAATCTATAACCGTTGGATAGACGAAAATCAACGGTTAGGATGCAGAGTAAGACTTATATAGTCAAATGATCTCTCTTTTATATATATATATATATATATATATTATATATATATATATATATATATATATGGGTTTATCATCTATCATTCAACATGACCACAAAAAATTTCCTACACACACAACATTTTGTGGGACCCGCAGCAAAAAAAAAAATAAAAAATTTCGGCACGCAAAACGAATCTCTATAACATAACACAATCACTTTTCCTACAACATAACTCTTATAAAACCCTATATATATATAGAGGCAGGATCCTTTGACACCGGTGTCAAAGAAAAAGTTTGACACCTCATCTGAGAGCCGTTAGATTAAAAAAAATCAATGGTGTCACATGCTTACAAATCAGAATCGTTGATTTTTTTTAATCTAACGGCTCTCAGATGAGGTGTCAAACTTTTTTTTTGACACCGGTGTCAAAGGATCCTGTCTCATATATATATATATATTAATTACTTACAATGGTACAGGATTTTCTTCCACCATGAAAGGTTGTTTGCACTTGGGAAGGCCGACGGCCTAGTGGCAAGGACTTTGAGCGGAGTGGATTCCTTTTTATTGGGATGTGTGCTCAGGAAATCATAGAAATGCACTATTATCACTGCCAAATCTGTTGATTCAATCATTAATGCCTTAATAATTTTACAATTAATTACTCAAGAAATAAAAAAAAAAAAAAAAACTGAATATAAAATAAAATATGGCGGCAGGAAAGTGTTGGTTACCGAAATATTCTCTACTGATAGCGGAGTGAAGAATACTATCCCCATTGTCTCGTACAAGATCTTGCAAAGTGATGCTATCTCTTGAAATATCAGAGAGGTATGCAAAGGCTTGTTTTCGCCAATTGATAGCAGCTAGAAACAGAGGTGTCTCCCCTTGTTCGTTTCTGCGACGCAGCAAATATATCCTCTGTTTAGCTATTCCTATAATGCACTTGCATATTCTGGCGAAACCCCTTGATGCTGCAACGTGCAGAGGTGTATCCCCTCGCTCGTTCTCCATTTCCAGAGCCTTCTTCTTTGCACTTTGTGGGCCCTGCTGCTGCTGCTCCTCTCTCAGAGCATCTTCTTCGTCAATTTCTTTCGTTATAATTGCATTCACAAGCTCTTTCACAACATCTTCTTCGTCCAAATCTACCGCCACATGCAATGCAGTGCCCACGGAATCGTTGATCATTGCAGTGTGAGCCTCTGGGAATTTATAGTACATAGCAATAACCTTATCCCATTTTCCTTCAAATGCATACTCAGCTATATAATCATTGACTTCACCTGGTGAAATGAAGGGCAATTTTTCGTCGACAGAACTAGTAGGCATCTTAATTAGTAGTCAAAGTGGAAATTGAACAAGGCTTGAAATGTGGATGTAAATTATATTATGCATATCATTTCGGTTGCATGCATTTTTATAGCATAGAATCTGATACTTCACAACACTCTTCCCAATTGTGATCACTTTATCTAGATGACACGGGAAGAATAATTAAATTAGAATGATCTTCAAGGCTGTGAGAATGAAGATAGAAAAATAAAACGTTACTTTGCTTGTTTTCATTCGCTATCTATCATTATCATGTATCTTCGAAGCTGTCATCTTTCTCGCTTTTTCACTGTGACTGAGCAAAACGGGGTTAAAAGAGAAAAAGCAGGTTATGTTTATGTTTCATGTCGCAGCCAATGATTCGATCCTTGCGTTGCGTGTTACTTACATATTACATTTTGAAAGCAAAATTATTGGAAATTAAAATACGACTTTTAAGTGGAGACGAAGGTTGATAAATTTTCAAACAATTAATGTGGTAATTTCATAAATAAAATAACCCATATATAAGCTTATTGCTTTTAAATTAAGATATGATGTGTGAAACGTAATATTGTGCTTTCTTTTTATTTTTCTTTTTTTGGTATCGTTGATATATTTCTCTTATAAATTTTGGGTTCTCCTAATTCTATAACAATTTTCACACCTGAATTTCCATACTTTTATTTTACAATTATTACATTTTTTAACCAGAGAGAGAGAGAGAGAAAATGTCAGAATATGCGTGTTTCTTAATTTTATTATAAAAGACACATTTTTGCAAAGCAAAATATACGATTTTTTTTTTAAATTTTAGAATCTGTTATTTTTTTTTTATTTACATAGGATTTTAGAAATTTTTTTGATACATTTGATGTATGATCATTTCCTTACACTAGTCATATCAGTTATTTAAGTTATTAATGAGAGGAAAAATTATAATAACTTTTCGCTAAACTAATTAATGATTGTTCACATTAGACTTATACTACAATTTTTTTTTATAATTTCTTTTTTGGTTACTTTTTCTTCTCGATAAAAAAGCGCTAAAATTGCTTCGTAAGTTTTAATTTTTTTAAAAAAATTATTTAATTATCTGGAAAATTTTAAACATTTTTAATTAAATATTTAAGCACGACAAGTAAAAGAATTGAGTCTTGCATAACTAAATAAACTTTCAAAAAAATTATACTCGCGCAAGAAAATGACGTAAAAATCAGATAACAGAATTTTCGTGTACAGATTCTAATTCTCATGGATCTGGATCATCTAATATGAAAATTCACATGACCATGTAAGGTGGAGAATCATAACCCTACAAAGGTGGATCAATGGTAAAAAAGGAGGAGAGAAAAAAAATGATAAAATAAGTAGTTACGAAATCATAACCATTTATTTACCTTTGTATGATTGTGATATTCCCATATGAGCATATCATATTTTTTTAGCACATGATCCATTTTCAATTCTCATAGCACAAAATTTCGTAATAAACTGCTGAAGCCTTTTTATCATCGTGTTTCTTGTGGCATTCCCGTATCTCAGTGCTTTTTCAAAGGGCACGCCAAATTAAAGCAACATTCTTTTCTTCCTTTTCTTTTTCTTTTTCATTTATTTATTTTGCTTAATTGGTATTGAAAGAAATAAAAAAAAGTAGGTGTTTGATGGAGAAGAATTTTTTATTCATGGCAATCATGATTTCTGAAAAGATATCGGAAAAGGAATTTCCCAATTACCAAAAAATTATTTGGTATGCCCAAATATTTTTAGGAATATTGGCTCAAATTTTTTGATTCTATTTTTGTTGATTGTCAATAATGCCTATAAATGTTCACTGATTTTACAAAATTAATCTTTGATGAATTTTTGAAATAAATATCTAATATGTCACAAAAGGATAAAAATACGATGTTGAAGATCAAACCCAAATTTCCAAACTAATTTGACCATTGTCAAATCAATTTCGTTCTCAGTAAAATTGTTGTAAAAAGAAAGAGATGAACCCATAATTTTGTGAAGAAGAGTATCATGGATAGAGTTTTAACAAGAGATAATATTTTAGTCATAAAAATATTAAAGCACGATTATTTATGTCTTATAAATTACGTAAAAAAAATTCACCGGGTGGGAATCTAAGAATATCACCCACCTGGTGCTATTATTTAATGAGATTCTTATTCATTATTTTAATTCACAGAAATATTTTATAAATTCTTATACCAAATGTGGGTAACTATGGGTGTGCATGACAATAATCCGAGAATCAATTTTTTTATTTTTGTTTCCAAAAACAAAAATAAAAATAGCATAAAACTAATGTTTTTTTATTCTCAAAATGAATCGGTTTGATTTTTACATTAGAAAAATAAATAAAAAACAAAAAAAGTTTTATTTATCCGTTCCGGGACACAAAAAGATAATCAGTTTTGTGTTTTTATTTTTTCATTCGTCGTTCTCAATCTTTTATCTAAAAAAAAAAAACTTCAACGCTATTGTTGTTCGTCGGAGCTTGGTCGAAGTCCACCTTCTTCACTGTCGGTCCAGCTCCATCCTCACCGCCGAGCAAGAAATTATGGTTTGGATCTTCGAACTTTCAACTTTCGCCCATTTCATAATTATGCAATTGATGTTTTTATGCAGCTGAAAAATCAGTACTAGAAAGTGTGATTATTTATTTTGATTTTCATGAATATTAATTTGGAAATGACATAAATAATATTTATTTTGATTCTTGTGCAAAATCACTTTCAACTCTTTGCAATGGATGGTATATTTTAGCATTTATTGTAAAAAACAATACACAATAAAATATTATAATATTTTAGATAATTTTTTTAAAATATGAAATGTTGGCATTTTAATTAAAATCTATTGCCGTTTGTTATTTGGGGCAGGTTATATTTATAAATTTTTTTGTTACAAATTACACTAAGTACGACCGGTCATACTTTAATCATATAGTATACAACCGATCGTACTTAGTGTAATTTGCAAAAAAAATTTGTGAACGGATTCTATCCCTTGTTATTTTATACAACATATGAAATCTGAAACAAAAAATAAAGAAATAGATTTGTATTGTGTTATCAAACATAATTCTGTTCTTGGAATAAAACAAAATGTTAACAAACATGGGAAAAATGTGTATCATTTTAAAGGATCTAAAGTTGTATCATTTTAAGTGAGAGAAAGAAATAGATAAAGGAGGAGAGAGTGGACAAAATAATATAAATGTGTAGGTCTCACCTCTGTGTAAGAATGAAATGACACAAGTTGTGTCATTTAAAAGAACAAACAATAACCCCCAAGGGTAGCTCAGTTGGCAGCTGAGCTCCCAAAGGATTGTTTGGTTCAGGGATCAAACCCTGCCTCATTCTTGGAAAATCTTTGGGGGCCAGAGGATAAGTCAAAAAATCTTCGGTTGAGGATTAGTCTCGTCCTTTCTCCGGTTGCGAAGCTTAGTGCACCCACTGTTACAATGAGGGGCTAGCCCAAACGGGCCGTACCCCGAGGGCATGGTGCCCGGAGAAGGTTGAATGGGGATACCTCCAATGTACCAAAAAAAAAAAAAAAGAACAAACAATTATTCCAACAAACATAATAATGATCCTCCGAACTCTTCCAAGTCACAAAATTAGAAAAAAAAATTTATCTCAGAATCAGCACTGGAGAACCCCTATAATTCTCAATATGAGTTTCTTGAAAATATAAAGTTTGTCTCTCTGCCAATGATCGTGTTCAAGAGAATTTTAATAAGCATCACTCTTGCAGACGAAAGTCCTGTGACGATCGAGACATCAGTTTGAATGTTAATTAAATAGATTGGGTAATACATGAGTAATGTTACAGAAAAATGATTGGGTAATACATGTGTAATGTTATAGAAAAATGAAAAAAGGTCTTGCAGACACAAAAAATTAGGAGAGTGAAACAAATTTAAAGAGAGAGAAAAGTTATCAATCGGCCCCACGTCAATTTTGGTTCTGCAGGAACTATTTTTGTTTTCATGTGACATAACACATATATTACCCAAATAGATAAGGATGTATTTGATATAAAAAAAAAAAGATAAGGATGTATTTTAAAAGGATTAAAAAAAAAATTAATTAGCAAAAAAGATTAATTTTAAGAAATCTTTAAAAACAAAAAAAAAGAGTATTTCTATTTTTAAAATTTAAATAAAGCAATATTAAACAAATGCTAAATAGTTATTGGCACCAATGTTGTCAAAATCGAGTTTCTACATAGAACGGAAAGGAATGGTGGATGCGTAAATTCTAGAAACGACACGAAATGTAAAGTTTCTATTATTTAAGGTTAAGATACAAAATTATATATATATATACATGTAAAAAAAGTATCATAAGTCACTACTCAAAATTTAATGAACAACTTTATATTTAAAAGATATAAATCTCATAACTATATAAAACATAAGTCCAAAAACATAAAATGAGTTTAACAACTTCTATAACCAAGTTCCAAAACATCAAAAGAATAAAGTTTAACAACTTTTAAATGAAAATACAGCGACCTCCTGCAAAGTTTTTTCCTATATAATATAACATGAAGAAGATATTGTGCATTTGATTTGAGGAAAATGGAGATAGGAATTATTTTTATTTTTTTTGAAAAAATAAAAACAAAATTAAGTATGAGTTAAATGTTGACCCGATTTAATTTTTTAGTTTAAGTAAAAATGTAAAAACTTATGTTTGTACCGTTTTTACATTTTTACATGTAGTTTTTATCAATTTTTATTTTAAAGAATTTTTACGTATATTTTAACATGTATCACTTCAGTAAAAATGTAAAAACATAAATTTTTACATTTTTATATTAATTTTTGACAACAATAATTGACACCCCCGTTTAAAGTAAAAGGATAGAGATGACGCAATAGAATGAAACTTCGAGGTTCTTTGAACAACACGATTTGATTTCCATCCATTCTTTTTACTTTTACCCTGTTGTCCAATCAACTGGTCAAGTGGTCAAAGAAACGAACATTTAAGATT